TGAAACATAGAGATTTGCCCCCGTCTCACAGCAAATCCTTAGCAGTGTCGCAAGCAGACTCCTGGCTCAAGACACTAGTCTATAGCAGCCCCTCTCAGTAGGGTACTCCTTCCATGAGTCAAGGATTCACTCATGTGTGTTTTAGATCCCTAGATGAAAGTGCAGCCTCCACTGTGGCACGTAAAGGACGGTGTGAAAGGGCAGATGTTTGCATGGCATGTTGAACAGGTTTTGAAAGGCACCATCTCTGTCTAAGAGGGAACTTTTGTGTCAGGTTTTGCCTTGCTAAAAACTCAGGGAGCTCTAGTGACTTCAAAGGCCCTGCACCGATTTAAACAGCAGAGGGTCTGGCCCAGGGTCTTCTACTGAATCATAAAGGAAGCCGTGTCTTGAATGTGGCTTTCCTGGGCAAAGTGCACGTTCATCTTGCCTCGGGACTTCTTGCTTCATAGGCCAGTGCACTCGGGAAGGCGATTTTCAGATGTTAATGACTCCTATAAACCTTTCCCTATTTCAGATCCCCCCGGAGGAGAAAAGAAGCTGGTTCCTTACTATGGCCACTCTGTACATCAGGTAAAAGAGGGAATGGCTGGTGTGGAGCTGGAATAAGAGAGCTGAACAGCACCAAACGCTTTCTCCAAGGGTGCCATGATAAATAGACGGTGACAGGTTACATTGGAAGAGGGGAGGGCTGCCTGCAACCTGACAGGCCATTTGCTTTAGATTCCACAGACAGAGAAGGGCTTGTGTAAACGACTCGGAGAGAAATCCTGGTTCCACTGAGCTCAATGGCAAAACTCCAGTTACCTCAGTGGGGCCCGGAGTTTATCCTATATCAGACTTGTTCTTTCTGCTTGGTAGGAGAAGAGGCTTCACAGAAAACTCAGATACCATAGCCATGAGCACGGAATACAGGCAGTCCCCGGGTTACGTACAAGATAGGGACTGTAGGTTTCTTCTTAAGTTGAATTTGTATGTAAGTCGGAACTGGTACGTATTGTAGGGGAAACTCTAGCCAAACATTTCTCCAGAGCTCAGTTTTATTCTCCCACACCTCACTTCCCTCAGTCCTTTATTCTCAAGCTGAAGTGTCTGCTGAGAAAAGCCGCTCCGCGTCTCCCTAGTCTGCTGGGGGGGGGGCACTAGCTTCGCGTCTCCCTGGTCTGCTGGGGGGAAGCAGCTAGTGCAGGGTTGCCTCACCCCGTTTGTAAGTAGGGATCCGATGTAAGTCGGATCCATGTAACCCGGGGACTGCCTGTAAATGGATAGCTAGGGCAGAAGTCATTCTACCTGGCATCAGGTGACCGGCCGTTTAAGGGAATTGGGCCTAGCCCTCTGCCTAGTTATCTGCCTCCCTGGTGATGGCTCTGAGGCCAGGGATTAGGGGATAGAATCCAGCTGGATCCTAAAACCACCAGGCTGCTGAATTTTGGGCTTTGGACCTTCATTAAAAGGCCAAAGAAGCAGCCCAGCGGAGGGTGAGATCTGTGGGGGACTCTGGGTCCAAGCATGATATTATGAGCTGGATTTGTGTTGCGCTGCTTGATTTGAAGAAATAAAAGTCAGCCCTTAAGGAAGGCTCTGAAATCCTGCCAGTGAAATTGTTCTTCGACGCACTGGTCACGGCCTGGCCCACTGGCTTATGCAAGCCAAGACATCACAACCCAAAATAAAAAGGCATGTTGTACAGGCCACAGCATCGACTGTCAGTGGCACTTTAACACATGAATTCATGAAGTCCTGTAACACTGGACTGCCAGCGCTTCAGGCCAATTCCTACCTCCCCCCATCACAGCCTGCCAAATGTGGATAAGCATGGATGGCGGGTGAAAGTAAGGCTGGGGGAGGCATGCTCCCCAGCCCTGCCCCCAACTTCACCCCTTCTGCCCAGCCAACCCCCCCAGCACCGGGGGAGGGAGAAGGCCATGCAGCCCCAGCCTCACCAGCTCCGGAGCACCGGGGAAGGAAGAGGGAAGCCTCCCCAGACCCAGAGCACTGGGGAGGGCAGACTCTGGGGGCAGCAACACTCTGTTTCCAGTATGTCTACAACAAGTGTTCTGGGGTCAGAGTGTGGGCCGGGCCCTTCCCCTGCCTGTGATACCCGCCGCCCCTATGGATAAGTTACTACCAGCTGAGCAAAGAGCTGGAAAGGTTTCATGAGTGGCACCTTTGTGCTATTCTGGCTATCAGCTGACAAGGATCGACGATAGCATAGTACGGATGTGCTCAAAGGTTATTGTACAAGCAGCGGTGAAGTAATAAAGGCCCAGTGTCACTAGCTGAGACGTGCACACTGACTCCAGGCTTCTTGCCACTGTAATATTGGTATCATGTGAGAAGTTACGGTGGCAAACAAAGCTACGAGGCTGCGAGTTAGGAACCTAGATTCCATGGAAATAGTTGCCCAAGTCCCTCAGGAAATCCCAGTCTTAAAAAATATCTGGAGTGAAATTGGAGACAACAGGGAGCAAAGAGGATCCTTCAGATGCAGGGTTGACAGATGCAGCTAGCCAGCACCAACACATTAACCTGTTCAGCCTATGCGCTACGCCAAGAACTGGACTCAGACGCGTAAAAGTCCAAATAACGCAACACGCCGGCTGGCCCTTCAAAAGAGTTTAGCACCCGACATGCATCCGCTGTGCTGAGCTCTGGAAACCTCCCCACTTATTCTGGAGCCTGGTTCCACAGCTTTGCACTGGTTTTACATCACTGGAACTCAGATCACAAGGATTAGGGTTAGACTTTTGTGTGAGGCAGACTAACCCGCATCTGCCTCCTCCCACGAAGTGTCCAGTGCTGGCCACTGGCAGAGACAGGACTAGATAGACAGTGGTCTCATCCAGTCTGGCGAGTCTTATGTTCTACTATTGCAACACAGTGGAGACTCAGGCCCTTGAGTGCCAATCTGACCCCTTGGGCAACTTGCTCTACCTCTCTGAGCCTCTGTTTCTAGTAAAACAAGAGGGAGAACAGCTTCCACCTCTGAGATCCTGGCATGAGTGGTGCTATATAACTGCAAAGTCTAATTAATAATAGTGCATTAGCAACTGCCTGCTGTTCTAGGGTGTGGCCAGTGTTCTAGGGTGTGGCCAGTGTTCCCTATAAGCTGTGTGCTTGGGCAGTCACCCAGGAGAAATTCAAATTCTGCCCAGCTGATTAGCAGAGCGCCCACAACTGGCAGCAGCCAGCAGCATGTGTTCCTACAGGTGGTGCACATATGCACATGCCTTGGTGCACATAAAATTTATTTCACACCGAATGGAAAAATTAGAGGAAACATTGGGTATGACACATGAGATGTGACTAGTAAGCCACTCCCATTCACTGCAGAAGTGCACCGTAATCCTGAGCAATCAAAGCAATTTGCTAAGGAAAGCAATCATATTGACAGAGTCGATTGTGTCACTAGAATCCAGTAACCAAACCACTCCTGCTCTTATTACAGGTTAGATGGGATCCTGATGAACAAGGGTAATGACGAACAGAAGCGGCTCCCCGCCTTTAACAGAACACTGGTTCTGCTTCGACAAGTGACCAAGTCCTCAAATTCTCACTACAGAGGTATGAGAACAACTGATTCCAGGCACACTCCATGACTCTGTACGAGAAGCGGGGCTGAGACCGCAAATCACCAAGTTTTTCAAACCCACCTGCAGAAGGTTAGGCTCATACATGAAAGTGTCTTTATGTGCAGAAGAGCTGAGGACTTCTCTGGTAGCCACTAAGGCCCTGACTCAGCTGGGTACTTAAGCAAGTGCCTAATTTTAAGCACATGAATAGTCTAATTGAAGCAAATGGGATTAGTCACATACATAAAGTTAGACACATGCTCAAGAACCTTGCTAAATCGGGGCCTAAAAGTTATCATGCAATGGTTGTTGGGTGGCCTGGGTGAAATAAACCAATGGTCTCAGTCCAGTTCCTACTCAACTTTTTCAACAGCAGCACAATTGCTGCTTATTGGCAATTTCAGCAGAGAAGCCAGGAGCAGACAGACCCTGGAAAGTGATCTACCATCTGACTCATTAAAGATCTGGGGTGAGGTTGAAGTACCTGGGTAGAGCAGTGTGTGGGCAACTCACTCATCATGCTGTAGATAAACCAAGTACACCAGGTTTCTGGGCACTTGTCCGGAGTACTTAAAGTCACTAAAATACCCTGATTTTGAAAGGTCAAAGCAACTCAGTGAATTCTTGTTTCCATAGTGGAATGTCCCTTCAGCCCGATTGTGCAGGATGGATCGCTTTCAAAGTTAGTGTCTGCCGTGCTAACCTGCTCTGAAATCTGTTCTCCATCCCCCAGCTCTGGCATGGTGCTACCTCGGCATGCTGCTGGAAAGGAATGAGACGTTTTCCACCACCCCAATGGGGATCCATGACTGTGGTTACTCTGGGACTGGGCCCCTTGATTGCTTTGGCAAGGTGCTTTTTTACTTCATTGCTAGTATGTAAGGAGAAGACTTGGAAGTCCCCCTTGCTCACTCTTTTACACCTACATCCTCTGTCAACCATACAGATGGCCATCTCTTTCCTCCACATTCCCTTCTTATCAGCTCCTTCCCCCTCACTTCATTCTCATGCCTTCCTCCCCCTACTCAGAGGCACACCAGAACAAGCAGTACATCTAGGGCAAAACCAGCAGAGCTTAGGATCTCTGTCTTACACAAGCATAAATGACACTGGGTCCGATTCACAGATGTTGTGAATCAGCCTTCTTACTCATCAAGGTTCTATGCGTGGCCCACGATACATTTTGTTTACCGCTGCCCACACACAAGGTTGCCAGATTCTTCTGCTTTCAATCTGCATGTATTTTTCTTCCTACCAGTATTACTAAAGTGACACTCATGTAAAGCCAGGGCGTGTGAAATGAGGTGCGTGCTGAGGGCACATAACATTGACTGTGAGAGCTGTGTGTTCCTTCTGCATCCAATCAAATCACTGCTACAGTTCAATGACACACCCCATGAATTCTAGGTACACAAGCGCACTTAGCAAAACTACCCTAGCCTGGGAGACCATGTTGGTTCTGACAATCTTGCGGCCCACTGAGATGAAGGAGGCCACTCACATAGCCTACTCACTAGACTAGGTTGCCCATTGCTGGTTTTGTTACCAGCTACCCACTGTAAGGAGGAACAGCCATCTCCCACCCCCATGATTCTTCCTGGTAACAAAACCAGCAATGGGCAACCTAGTCTAGTGAGCAGGCTTTGTGAGTGGCTCTCCTTCATCTCAGTGGGCTGCAAGATTGTCATTAGCAGTGATTCCATGTTTTTTTTATGGGGCTGGATCATGCCCAGAGAGGAGTGCTATTCAGGGAGATAGGGTATCAGAATCTGCTCCTAAATATTTCTGAGAAATGACTGGCTTTTCCTTCTTCAGCTTGCTGGCTAGGTTGACTGAGAAGTCGAGGCAACCATGTCTGTTGACGGCATATGGATGCCAAGTTCTGAAGACAATAGTAGAACAGAGTATAGGAATCGCCATATTTAAAAGTACCACACCGTTGTGAGTGCAGCTTCAGACTCATCCTCTGGGTCACAAAAAACGACAATCAGTGTGTCACAAAAGCCAGTCTGTGAATTAAACAAATGGTCCCATAGGACCAGAGATGTTTCTGAGCCTTTGCTCAGTACAGTAAAGGGCAGTTCACTAATGGAAATATGTTTTGCTTTCCTGATTTCAAAAGGCAATAGAAATAGCTAAAGACAATCCTCCCATACTAAACCGACTGGCCAAAATTTTCCACTTCCTGGGCAAGCAAGAAATGGCTCTGGGAATCTGCAACATGGCGCTGGACGTCTTACAAGATCCAGAACTCAACTGGCAGGCCTACTGCACACGGGCCAAGGTACGTAGCTTGTCTTCCAGAAGCCAGCCTGACTCTGTGTGTTTTCATTAAGGGCTTTAGTTGACAGAGGATCTATGAGCTTCCAAAATGCAGAATCTGTGTAAAGTCACTGATGTGCTTTTCAAGCCCTGCCAGCCAAGTGCAGTCAGCCAGCGGGGAGAGGACATTTGCTAAGATCCACAGCCTCTCCGTGCTACTGATGAATAGGAGGCATCCTGGATAGGAGGCATCATTTGTATAAGCATCTTCATGCCTCAGCAACTTGCCAGCTGAGTCACCCAGGACACAGGGCCCTAGTGGAGATTTCTCTTGAAAAATGGGGCTCACAAGGCCTGATCTTGTACTCAGCAGGCAAACTCCTCTTTGTGATGTGAGGAGACTTTCACAGGGATGACTCCTGGAAATGGCTCTGTCTGTGCCAGTGGGACTCTACTTGGGATTCCCTACAGCCAAAGCTAAGCACTAGAAAAGGATCTATCCTTGCTCTGGGCTGTGTTATGTGGCATTCCAAGCAGTCACCCAAAGGGAAAATAAGCTGAGGAGAAAGGATGGTCTCATAGTTAAGGAGCCAACCTGGACAATTCTGGCTCCATCGCAGATGGTTTGTGTGTTAGTCACCTGGGGTACAATTTTCAAACATTATTAAGTGACTTAGGTACCTAAGTCTAATGTTGGGAGCCGAACTCCTATTAACTTTGAATGAGACATAGGCTCCTAAATCCCTTAGGATCTTTTGAAAGTGTTACCTTCTACTTGTTTGTACACGGGTGTCCCCATTGGTGTTGATGATTCCTATCTCAGATAGCTGAGAGTGTTGTTACTGGGTACTTCCTATTATACCAGTAGCAACGAGATTCTCAAATGGTGCCTGGTTGGTAGGTTTTTAAATAAACCCAAAATTAATTCTCACTATTTATTTTTTAAGACAAGAAATATGGGGGTACATTCACGCTTGTAGGGGCCATGTAACATACATGGCACTAACGGAATGTTCAGACTGGCCTGGGGTCTCTTTAGTACGTGGCTAGACCTGCCCGTCAAAGTTGGTTTCTAATTTCCTTTGAAGTTCAGCTGCCTGCAGGTCTGAAGCCAAAACAAATGCATCATTAGGGCGGTTTCTGGAAGCCAGACTGTGTCTTAAATAGACTCAGCGCATGGGTGCTGGAACTAGGGTGCTGCAGCGCCCCTTGGCTTGAAGTGGTTTCCTTTCTACACCTGGATTAGAGTTTGGTTCAGTGGCTTTCAGCACCCCAACTATACAAATTGTTCCCGTGCCCCCAACTCAGTGTCAGAAGACTGCAAAACAATATAAAACAAAGGGCTTGATTCTGCAGTTCTCACTCAAGTAAAACTCCTGGGGTCACTAGTGAGGTGCACTGATGCACCTTCACAGGAGCACGTAGTGCTCCCCAATTCTTACAATAGTGTCATTAGACCAATTGGTATTTACGTCCTCGTGACTGTGAAAGGGGATTCCAGTAACGGGTGAACACATCTCTGGGGGTGGGGGATGGAAATATGTTGTTCTCAGCTCAGATGCTTGGGTGACGGGCAAGTTAGAAAGTGCCTTAGCTGATGTAACTTAGCTCGCAGTAGAATTACACTGATGAATCCCAACTGGGGGTTTGGCCAGAGGGGTTCCATTTTGTATTCATGTGAATATATTTAGTACTGTATGTGTTAAATGGCCCTACAAGCATGAACTAGCCCCATGTAGTGTGCTGGGGGGGAGGGAGGTTACATAGAAATGGAATGCATGCCAGAATGAGCATCCTCCTGTCTTTAGATCCACATTAAGCTCTATCTGCGAGATCTGGACCGTGCAAAGATGGGTTTGGGAGGCATGCCAGACAGGAAACATCTCACCCGTGCTAAAGAAGACCTGGAAAGGGTTGTAAAGGTTTGCCCATGCTTGAAGACATACCTGGACATGGGCCATGTGAGTAAATACACAGATGCTCTCTCCCAGTGAGATCTGCTGCTGCTTTTTTCATGTCTTCATGTTTTTATTTACATTTGCTACTTAAAGAAACAAGAAAACCAATAGACTGGGTTGGCAACAGACTTTGCTGAGCCCTGGGCAATGTGGGGGAGGCTCAGCTCTGGGGAGGCCCCTGGAAGGCGCAGTGCCTTGGGCAGAAGGGGCGTAGCTAGGGGTAGCCAGCCCTTTGTGCCACCTGCACCGCACCACACACGGCTCCAGTGACGATTTTAAAGGGCTTGGAGTCCCAGGTCCCTTTAAACCACAAGGCTCCAGAGCAACTGCACCCTCCCCCGCCCTCCTATTGGCGGCTCTGCCAGCAAAACGTAGAAACACTGAATCAGCCCTGGCTCTTACAGTATGTCTACATAGGAAAAGCTGGACTAGGGCTTGCCTACCTGACATAGCTTTAATCCAATTAGCACGGGCAACAACGCAGTGAAGACAGCACAGCGTGGGTCCTGGGTGGGCTAGCAAGTTGAGATATACTCAGGGTCCCTGCTGGGCATGCATTACCTGTTTTGAAGCCCACAATACATTGTCTTCTGCTGCTGTTACCAACACCACCTGGATTCACGGTAGTGTGGGCAGGCTGGCCTGTGCACAGCTTTTGATGTGTAGACGCGCCCTAAGAGCCAGTGTTGGGTTGGAGGTGGAGAGGAGTGAAGTGAAGCGCTCCGATGGTAGTTGTGTATAATGTACGCAGACTGGCCCAAAGCCTTGACTAAGATGCGGCCACTTTGCAAAGTCCCCTGGTGGATTCAGCTAACAGATGTTACCTCAGCATAGTGCAGTCCTCTCAGGCAGTAGTAAAAGGCTCTGCAGTTTCCCTGTACCCCATGGCTATGACTCAGTAGTTATTTATCATGATGTCCTTTTAGGTCTGCTATTACATGGGTGTGGATGCCATGCAGGAACTATTCCCAGTGGATGAGGCTGCGCTGGACAGGGCCTTGGAGTTCTTTGCGAAAGCCATGGAGTTTGACCTGGGAGATATGCTACCGGAGATACAGCTGGTGAGGGGCAAATGCCTGCGGCTTAAAAACGAGGAGTCCAATGCCATTGGGTGCTTCAAGCGAGCCATAGAGCTAGACGATGTGGGCTCCACCTACACAGAGAGCTTCCGCTGCTTAATGGAGACCCTCCTGATGCAGTTCAGCCACGGGAGAGTGAATGCCGGGATGCTGATGCAGGAAGTGGAATTGTGGGTAAAGAAGGCTGAGGAGAAATACCCAAAGCAGCGTGTCCGCCAGGAGCTGAGGCTGGTATGTCGCAGTCACACGACAGAGGTGATCGCGCTCTCCAAAGCCATGGTCACCAGAGGGAATACGGAGCTGGTAAAGATGCTGTTTGAGACAATAAAGACTGACTTTTCCAAACCCAAACTAACTGAGCGATCGCTCTCCTTCTGAGCAGCCGACGTCGGCACCACGTCCTGCGGCACAACTGCCTCCAGGCTCACACTTCTGCTTCTCTAAGATCTCCTCCAACAGCCAGTAGATGATACATTAACTATTTTAACTCTTAGCCACAGATCTCTGAGCAGTGTGCAGAAGTGGCCAAGTATTACTGTCTCTGTTTCACAAACGGAGAAACTGAGGTAGAGACCAAATAACAAAAAGTGTTCTGTGATTACGGGTGCCTCCCTTTTTTGAGTTCACTTGACTCAGCCCTCCGAAAATCAGGCCCCAGGTGGTTCAGCATGTCCAAAATGATGTGCTCAAGGCCACACAGCAAGTTACTGGCAAAGTAGGAAGTAGAATCCAGATCTCTTGCTTCCCAGACTGCCACCCTTTCTGTGGGACAATTCTGCCTCCATTACATTCTGGGGATGTTATATCAGTCCACAGTAGAATAGCCGCTGTGCTGGTTTGGGTCTGCACTCTGTGATCCTCCTTTTCATTAAGTGAATGCCGCTAATGCAGAGCGCTGATCCTGCAAGTTCAATGGGAATTGAGGGTGCTTAGTACTATGCACAATCCTTGGATTTCATTTGAAATCAATGAATAACACAACTGTTAATAAGGTGAGACAGATTTCAGAGCAGGTTGGAAACAAGATCTACTGAACCTTAGAAAATCTCATATGTTCAGTCTTTTCTACCTTATGCTTTTGCACTGCACCATAGTAACTGATCCTCAACTCAGCTCTGTATTGGTCAGAAAGCAAACACAGATCTCCCTTACTTTGGTGATAAGCGCAGTATAAATCAGTCACAGTGAGAATTTTACGACTAAATGACCTATACTAATAGCTGAACTAGTGAGTGTTGTTGGGAGCTCCTGGGAGCATCTACAGTGTTTCTAAATTGGTAGCTAGTTTGAGGTGATTTCCCTGCCTCTGATGGAGTCACCGTCTGGCTTAATACAGCTGGCTCTGACCTGGTGCACATAAAAATACTTCCGAGGGGCAAAGTTCTTCCATTGGGGTGCATCAGATGGTGCCGAGTGCTGCAGAGAGGATATTTCCTTAAGCCAAGGTAAGGGTTTCATATCTGTGTCTCTTTCTCATGCACACACTCTTCCAGTCAATCAGTGCACCATTGTAACTCCAACAGGCAGAACATAACCTGGGACTTCTGGAGTTTAGTGCACGAAATAAAGCTGTAGAGCATACTCATTCTCTGTCACTGGAGTGGTTTTAGTGCTACTACATGGGACAGCACATCACACCCAGCAGGTGTGTGGGTCACACCAACTCATCAATGTCCTGTGTATATTTTAGTGGAGGTGAAGTAGTGTTTAATATAAGTTGCTATGTCTCTTGATTTCTGCCTCGTTTACTGGTTTTAGTTATAAGAAACTGTTTTGTTTCAAATGACTAGATTCCCTCTCATTTTCCAGGGGTGTGCATACATTTAGCACCTAGGTTTATCATAGTCTGAGGGGGGAAAGTTTGTAACTATTAGCAGTACATCACTGAGTCATGCCTGTATTTTATTTTATGTGAGGGGCTTGATCTACTTTTACTGGATTTCTAATGGTGTTGTAAAGATATAAAAGGTGCTTCCCATGATAATACTCTGAGGGCCTAATCTCGTTCCCTTTGAAATAGGTCACAAATTTCCCATTTTCTTTGGTGTGAAAAGATTCAGGCTTTGGAAGAGAACTTCATTATAATAACAAACAAGACACGGAGTTGGGCCTCTTTCCGTTTGCAATAACAGTATGTAGAAACCACCTAGGCTCAGCGGGGTCCAGATAATCAGGTTTCCTGAACACACACACCATGCAAGGTCACTTCTACAGATATATGGCTGCTCTGGCAGCTCTTGAAACCCCAGAAAACTGAGCACCTCTAGAGACTTCACAAACTGTTTAAACAGATATTACCCAATTCCTGTATACAGGTTGTACCTCTCTTAACCAGAACAATCTGGTCTGGCAACATCTGTGGTCCTCATGGAGCATGGCAGGGGGGCTGGCAACAGGACAGCACAGTGAGGAGTTCTAGACCCAGTCAGTAGCAGGGAACCAGCAATGGCTGTGGAACTGCAGCCCTGAAGGTGCCAGGGAGCTCTGGCCCTGGCAGCAGCAGGATTAGTGGTAACAGCTGGAGAGCTGCAGCCCTAGGAACCACAGCTTGCTAAGTAGCAGCAGGGCCAGGCTGGAGCCTCTGGCAGAGGGCAGCAGTTCAGCACGGACCATGAGGAGTGGGACCTCCCCTAGTCCAGCAAATCCCCTCATTCAGGACCAGTCAGGTGCCGGACCAGGGAAGTCCAACCTGTACTAAACAGAACAATGAAAGGGGCCTGCCTGCATTGTGATTGAAACTGGGCTGCCAGTTCTCTGCTTTTTAGAAGGCTCCCAGGTTGATTATCTTGAAGATGAAAGAATATATAAGTGCTAGTTATTATTACCTGATAATCCCTGAAATTAATTTTCCCCCTTTTCAGAGAATCACTCCTAGGTCATCCCAGCTTCCAAGTAGCGGTACAATAAACTAGTAAGTAGGTGTGTGAACCACTGCTCTCTGCTGAATGAACCAGAACTGCTTGCAGTTTGTTGCCACCCATAGGTGGTAATTTTCCTTTAGCTCAAGTGGTAATGGCTGTGTGTTCCACCCCAGCTATTGCTAAAAAGGTACAAATGGTCATTGAAATGTTGCTCAGCGTGGAATGCACTGTGCCATAGGACTGGGGAACTGCAGCAAAATAACAGTCACAAAGATCCGATATGGTCATGGATTTGTTGCAATATGTGTATTGTCTGTCAACATATTTTATTAAAGGAAGGTAACAACATTTGTTTAGCAATTTATGACTCATCTGTAAAACACACAGATGGAAACCAAATTATGTAATACAAAGGAGGTAGATGATATGTTTTGTATGTGAATAACTGCATCAAGTCACATTTAGTCTTACAGCATCTCTCTCCGTATTTACTGGGTGGGCAACATGTAAATAAAAATGGTGCCAAATCGATTTTGCAGTGAATAAAGACATTTCCATGGTGAACATGTAAAAAGGAACATGGTTGCCATTACTTCCACTTTACTACTGTTTATTGAAATTGTTTCAATAATTATTATGCTTTATTGTTTGTTACTGTGGTAACACCTATAAGCCACAAATGAGATCAGGCCTACAATGTGCCCAATGTGGTTTATATTCACTAAGACAGCCCCTGCTGTAAAGGGTTTATAATCTAAGTATGTGATGAGACAACAGGTGGATCCAACAACTAAGGCGGGGGACGAAAGGGTACGACAGCAAGACAGGTCTCTATTGTCAGAAGCAGTGGTCACAGCACCCCTGGGCTGCGTCTAGACTGGCAAGTTTTTCTGCCAAAGCAGCCGCTTTTACACTGGCCACTTGAATTTGTGCAAGAACACTGACGACCTAATGTATGATCGTCAGTGTTCTTGCGCAAATACAATGACTCTCCTGCTCAGGAAAAAACCCTCTTGCGCAAATGCTCTCAGTGTAGACAACTGAGAACCGTTTTGCGCAAAGAAGCCCTGATGGCAAAAATAGCGATCGGGGCTTTCTTGCGCAAAACCGCCTCTAGATTGGCACAGACGCTTTTCCGCAAAAAGTGCTTTTGCGCAAAAGCATCCGTGCCAATCTAGACGCTCTTTTCCGCAGATGCTTTTAATGGAAAAACTTTTCCGTTAAAAGCATTTGCGGAAAATCATGCCAGTCTAGACGCAGCCCTGTTATTTAAGAATGTGTTGCCTCATTTCAAAGCAATGTCTGTAGAAATTAAGTCTTCTGCATTAATATACCTACTCTTTCTTGACTTGACAACTCAGGGCATCTCCATGCACTCACTGCTTGACAGCCTTCACCCCACCCCTAAGAGGGGAGGGGAGACAGTCTGCCAAGGTACTGCAGCAGCAAGCCTCCAAGCCCATGTCAACACACTTGGGCTTGTACTAAAAACACCCATGTAGAAAGTGTTTTTAAGTCATGGCTCATGCTGGAACTTGGACTTTGCAGCCCATCCTCCTCCGCAGGCTTCAGCATGTGAGTTGCAACAACCAGCATGTGAGTCAGTCAACCGGAGCTGGAAGGCTTGTTGCCATAGGCTGAGTAGGCACACACATGCATCCTTGGTGTGCTCATCTGCCAAGGCCTCTTTCAGAGAGGTTACAGCCTGGAGGGACGTTTCTCTCCTCTAGACTGTTCTATGGCCATAAGGAAAGTGTCACGAGTGCTCTTGCTTTTCCCTCTTGCCATTTCCATTTCCAGCACAGAATCGTTTCTCCACTCTTTTGCAGAGAGCAAAGACTGTAAGGCTACGTCTACACTGGCCCCTTTTCCGGAAGGGGCATGTAAATTTCACTCGTCGTCGTAGGGAAATCCGCGGGGGATTTAAATATCCCCCGCGGCATTTAAATAAAAATGTCCGCCGCTTTTTTCCGGCTTTTAAAAAAGCCGGAAAAGAGCGTCTAGACTGGCCCCGATCCTCCGGAAAAAGTGCCCTTTTCCGGAGGCTCTTATTCCTACTTCAAAGTAGGCGGCGGACATTTTTATTTAAATGCCGCGGGGGATATTTAAATCCCCCGCGGATTTCCCTACGACGACTAGTGAAATTTACATGCCCCTTCCGGAAAAGGGGCCAGTGTAGACGTAGCCTAATAGTTTGGCTATGTCTACACTATAGGGTTTTTGCACAAAAATAGCCGTTTTTGTGCAAAAATTGGCAGAGCATCCACACCTCAAGTGCGTTTTTTGCATAAGAAAATTAGCAGAACAGAGCGCTTTTGCCAGTAGAATTATTCCTCTCCCCATGAGGAACAACTCCTTTTTGTGCTACAGCTTTTGTGCACAAAGGCAGGTGTGGATGCTCCAGAGGGGTTTTTGCGCAAGAAACCCCTTTCAGAAAAAAGCACAGGTGCTCTGATGGCCATTCTGTGAATGCGCTTTCTTGTGCAAGAGTGTCCATGCTGTGTGGATGCTCTCTTGAGCAAAAGCACATCACTTTTGCAATGCGCTTTGAGGTGTGGATGCGCTTTTGCGCAAGAAGTCTTTGCACAAAAACTCTACTGCAAAAGGTTTTTTGCGCAAAAACCCTGCAGTGTAGACAAAGCCCAAAGGACCACCAACTGGCAATGCTGAGACCTTGCCTCCACCTTACGTGTCTAAGACATTGTGCCTGGCAACTTTTTCTGTACGTTGGGAATTCTCATGCCTGGGTTTTTGATAAGGGCTGAGGATGTCACCTGCTTCCTTTTCATCTACATATGTTGACATGCAACATTTCAAGAACCCCCTTTGTGTCAAATCACTGCTCAGGCTGGAGTTAATAACTCCAAGCCAGTTTGTCATGTTGAAATATGCTCTGATCCTGCCCCTTTCGGTCAATTGTAAGAGTTCAAAAATCATGAGTCAGGCCTCCAAAATCAGGAAGACATTTTAACAGCTATAAATGCTGGGAGGTTTGTTACTTTATAATTTTTGAGCTTCTAAGTTACACGTGAGTCACATTTTCAAGTTTTTACCCACAATCACAAGGGCTAATAAATTTCCTTTTTTACAAATGAAAGCTATGATTCCTGAATAATCATGTGACTCCAGGTGCTGGTGCTTTCATGAAAACACCAATTTTTGCAAAACGTATGCTTAACATTACGATCATGGTCAATGCTGCCTTCTGGACCTGAAAATCATAGAGCAGCTAGAGCCTGCACATAGGGATACCCACTCTCCAAGATTACCCTGGAGCCTCCAGGAATTTAAGATTGATCTTTAATTGACGATTATGTCATGTGATTGAATCTTCAGGAGGACAGTCAACCAAAACTGACAACCCTAAGGCTACATCTACACTGCAGGCTCCTTGCGCAAGAACTGTTGTGCACAAGAGTTCTTGTGCAAAAGGTCTTCCACAAGAGCACGTCCACACTGCCATGTGTTTTTGCGCAAGAGATGTGCTTTTGCGCAAGAGCGTCCATGGCAGTGTGGACACTCTCTTGTGCAAGAACTATCTGATGGCCATGTTAGCTATAGGGGTTTCTCGCGCAAGAAACCCCTCTTGCCCGTCCACACTACCTTCTTGCACAAGAGCTCTTGCACAAGAGGGCTTATTCCTCGTGTGGAGAGGAATAATTCTTGTGCAAGAAGCCCTCTGTTCTGACACTTTACTGTAAATTTACTTGAGCAAGAAAGCGCATGCAGTGTAGCTGCTCCGCAAGTTTTTGTGCAGGAACGGCCATTCTTGCGCAAGAAGCCTGCAGTATAGACGTAACCTAAGAGCATGGGACCCCATGATACACCAAGCATTGCACCTCCAGAAAGTACCCTTTATATAGCTACAATAGCAATGACATCTTTGCAAATATACCTTGTGATCAGCTCTGGCAGCTTGAACTTACTTACTAAATTTCCATATTTAATGATCCCTTCCCCAATTAAGGCCTTCCAGGTGTAGGGCTGCCAATTTTACTTGGACGTTTTCCTGGAGGTTTCATCACTTGACATAACCTTTAAGGAAAGACTCTTAGTCTTTCATTCTTGGAGACTCCAGGACAAGCCTGGAGGGTTGGCAACTAAAGAAAAAGCACTGATCATAGAGTTCAGCCTCCTAGCGGAAGGAGAGTCTTCCCTGGAAGGAAGTGGCTGTTCCAGACACTTCCTCCACGGTCTCAGGTAAAACGCTTCTCCCCGGAACTAAGCAAGGTCGGGTGTGTGGGGGGGGAGGGACACGTGCCATGGAACGTTTCTGATTGGGTAGCTGGCCCCAGCGGAGAGAGGAAAGCCGGTTGGGGCGCATGCGCACACGCTTGCAGGGCTCCGGCGGGCACTTCTGGCGTGGTGGGCGGGCACGCGGGGGGGCGCCCC